TCTGCAGCAACTTAGAAAGATTTGTTAGCCAAAAGGCCATTTTTTAAAAAACTACACATGAAATGAACTTTATCAGTAATGAAAACAAATTTAGGGAAATAAGTGTACACACATTTTTTTTGGTTATTGGATACACATCATAAAAATAATGGCAAAAATGTGGAAAATGCTTGCCTGTCTTTTAGAGTTCAAATTGACCATGCTGGATGGATGTTTACAGGGCATATACTTGTTCCTGACCCCTAGTGTTAAGAAATTCTGTTCTGTTTGAGAACTAGTCCCTTGTGCAGCCTGTAGCCCAGTTAATAGCTACAAGGTCAATGAAGCCGCTAAACAGTTTGTATTACTGTCAGGGTGGCCATGAAAACACCACCTGCCACAAGAGGACTTGGCAGCTGGGTCAACAGGCACTGTGGGAATTTATCAACTTAGGGGGGCCACTTGCATAAAACTTTGACTGATGAATTGGGACTCCACTGGCTTATTGGACCAAAGTTGCTCTATTATATGTAAGTTCCTTTAGGATGACGGAGCTGCCTGTGGACTCCCAGACATAGGCAAAGGATAAATAGGACTGCCTTACCCTTGTAAAGTGACTTTTTTTTTAGCATTACTTTAGCATCTTGCATAATGAGGAATAGGACAAAGTGATTAAGAAAAAAAAATCAAAACAAGGCCAGGATGTGGCACCTCGCGGGAGTGGGGAGGCTTGGGATTTGTTGGGATTTGCATTATTAATGTATAGACCTCTTAAAGGGAAGGAAGGTCCTGGCTTCTTGGTTGGAGAAGAGCTAAGCAAGGTGTTGAAGTACAGGGAGAGGGGGTTCAGAGGAAAGGAAAGCAACAGGAATAGTCTGTCTTTCCACGTTCCTGGAGAATTAACCCTGGGAAAGTCAACCAAAGGCATTTGGGGTTAAGTTCATCAGAAATAAAACTAGTCTTGCGCTCTCTAGAGATAAAGCCTCTAGAGATAAAGCTTCGAAGTCACATAACTGTGTCAGAACTTAAGTTCCCACCATTGCCAGAGAGCGTTTGATCCTGCTTCTTTTAAATTGTATCTATTTATTTTTAATTTATTTATTTTAAATTGTATCTATTTTAAATTGTATCTATTTATTCATTCATTGGTTGGAGTTCTGGGTTTCGTGACACAGTTCCAATTTGAAGTTCAGAGAACAGCTTTGGAGATCGGTTTCTCTCCTTCCCTCTCAGTGGGCAGCACCCAAACTCAGCTATCTGGCTTGTGCTACAAGTATCTTTGCCTGCCGAGCCGTCTCACACGCCACCCCCAACACATTCAATTGAGGTTGAAGAGCTAATAAAGAGGAAGCATGTCAGGAATGACGACAGGGATGCATTTGTTCAGAGCTCCCTTTAAGCTCCTTGGACACCTGCATCCTAATTTTGGAAGTGAGAGAAATTTAAAAGTTGAGAAAGCACCTGAAAATAATTATGGAATGCAAAGAATGAGGCCTGACAAGACTGGAGATTAGAATACACTTTAAATACGTGATTCAGCTAACTCCAGAGCCCCAAGAAGTCAAGAGACAAGAAGTGATCAATGGTCGTGTATGACTCTCTGGTGCACTGTCCAATTTCAAGGAACACTCAGAGGCAAGACTCAGCACCACTGACTGAAATGAGGTCCACTGCCCAAATCCTACGCTCTGTGCCCTACACCTGTCCCCTAGATATCAGGGCAGATCACGGGACACACTGAACTGAGTACGAGAGAGATTAGGAACTCAGAATTGACTGAGCTGTTGGTTTGATCCCAACTCCATTCTGAGGTGAGGGATAACTTCCCAACTCTGAAGATGTCCTGGAAGTGTTTCATGTTTTGGCACAAGACAAAATCCATTCTTGTATACTGTCTTCCCAAGGAAGGCTTTTCCCTAAGTAACTTAGGAAAGCTGGTCATCTTTCATTTTCAAATTTTCATTACAGATGATGGCCAGTTGGAGAGGGAGAGGGGAAGAAAGAAGGGTAATGGGCAGTGAGAGGAGCAACATACAAATATATGTGAGTATAGAATGCACTAGAAGCCCTACTATTTTACATACTAACTTAAAAGTATTAATTATATACTAAATTAAAATTTAATGATCTTGCTGGGCGGTGGTGGCGCATGCCTTTAATCCCAGCACTCGGGAGGCAGAGGCAGGCAGATCTCTGTAAGTTTGAGGCTGGGCTGGACCGACAGCCTCCAAAACAATACATCTTCTAAGGGAGCTGTTCCACCATAAATAATTTAAAACTCACACAAATGATTTTGCAGTTTACAGCCTTAGACTAAACTGTCCTTGCAGATTGGATTGACAACATTGGAACCTCACATGTTTGCCAAATTTGATTAAGAGTTATTACATTTTTATTTCTAAGTTCATTGCATGTAGCATATACCAGAATGGCTGAGTGGTTAAGGCATTGGGCTTAAGAAAATGTAGCATAAATACTATGGTAAGTGCATAACTTCTATGACACCTTATACGAAAATATGACAAATTGCAATTCAGTACTTGTCTCTCCCAGGGTCATGAATCAATTGGTATATGAAAGCTGTTTTGAAAATATTCTAACAAGTCTAGGCACTTCTCTATAAGAAGATAATGAGCTTAACTGTTCAGTTTGTTAGATTTTTTTTTGAAATAACAAGGCATACACACATACACACACACACACACATATATGCAGATTTACAAATTTGATGATGCTTTTTATTCAGAGTAGAAAGACACTTCTACTCTGCCTGACCTCTTGAGCCTGCCTATGCTAGCAACTAACTTGTGTTGCCCCAAATAACCCTGTCTGCACAGAAGTGTCTGCTCATGCACCAGCCCCTCTTGGGAAAACATTGCAATAATTGCCACTGGCCCTCACATCAAAACAGTAAGAGGCTCCCAACAAGCGTTTATGAAAACATTAGCTTTCTTGCACTTGGTTTAATTTAGAATACGCTGATGCCCACGCCGGAGGATGGGTCTCTGAGATTCTATTACTCCCCCACCTCTGCAAAGCAAACACAGATCTTAACCCTGGCCCCACACATGACATGAATCACCAGAAACAGCCCCATAATGAGAAGCCAGACCTTCAGGTATGTCACTCTGAGACCACCCTACTAGAGGGGCCCTAAGATCACAAAGCCAAGGTCACTCGTGGCAACCCTGATAATTAGATCCTAATAATAGATTGAAGGTGTAAACTTCACCTCTAGTCACCAACAGACTAAACAATCCAGATCAAGAGAGATTCTGTGTGTGGCAGGGAGGGTAGGGGTGGGGAGAGAATTCATTACCCTACTGTGGGGAAGCTTCAGAAACTGATCAATCTTGACAACATAATGGAGCAGCAGTGACCATTTTGAAGCTAATTGCCACAGGTCTGGATGAAACCCCATCCCTGCACTGCGGGTCGTCAGAGGGCTCTGTGTTAGAGTTCGCACTAGTTTCGCTTGTGTTTGTAGTGGTGTACCAGTTTCAGCACCCTCCTAAATGTCTGATAGCTTTTCACTTCCTTTCTTTTCTCGAGAAGACACCAATTTCACTCATGAAGAGGAGAAATCTCACTGCAGCCACATATGTGACAATAAGTGTGTCTCTTATCGTAAAGAAGGGATGTCACGCTCTTGGTGAGCAGGGGACAGGGACCACTTCTTTTTCATGGTTCTCCTCTTTGTCATGCAGTAGCCCATGCTAACCTGTAGTTTTCTCAGGAAAGGAAATGGTTCTTTTGGTTACAGAAAAGGTAGTCTGCTCAGTCACTAAATCATGGCTTTACCAGGAAAACACAATTGACAACTTACAAACAGTATTTTAAGAATTGAATGGTGTCGATGCCTTTGGCTGACCTTTCCAATCACTAGAATTGATTCTCTTGAGGAAAAACTTCACAGAAGTTTGAAGTTCGTAGCATGGTGTTGGTGAGTAAGGAGCACCAGTTAGTCATGAACTACTTGTATCTATAAAAATGATTAGGTTCTGGATGACCAATATCCAGGTGGCAGCGTGTAGTTTTAATGGTTTCAGAAAGTTCAGTTCTCATGTTTGAAAATCATGACTAATGAATGATGATTGGAACCACAGGAGAACTGTGTGTGCTGGCATCGAGATGGGTGGACCAGACTGGGAGGGAAGAGCAGCAGAACATACACACACACACACACACACACACACACATGAACATGCACACAGATACATGTGTAACACACACACAGGTGTGTGTTAGGGGTGTGTGTGTGTGTGGAGACCAGATGTATCTTCCTTGATCGTTTTCTATTTCCTTTACCGAGGTTTCTGGCTGAACCAGGAGCTCACCTGTTTGGCTGGTCTAACGAGGCAGTCTGCCTTGCCTCTGCCTCCTCCATGTTGTATGTACGTAGCTACCATCCCGTTCCACATTTATGTGGCCTCTGAGAATCTGAACTCTTGTTCTTATGTTTTCAAGGCAACATATTTATCTACTAAGCCACTCAAATATAATCTTTTAAAGGACAAAAACCTTCACACCTTCCTTTTGCTAAAGCAAATAATGAGACAGTCCTTTAGTTTTCATTGGCTTGACCAAACAGTTTTCACAAGTGCTGTGAACTGTCTGATCATTTGGAAATGAGAATCATGTGTTGAACTGTTAAGATAACTCATCTTGCCTATCTAACAAAAATCATACTAAGGAGGATGATATCTGTCAGAACATTCTCATTTTCTCAAAATTAAAGGTTTTGTTATTTCCTGACATGGGAGCTGAGGCCACTTTTCGGCATGTTTTGGGGCTCTCTCCTGACTTTTAACTGGGAATGTTGTCCCCATAACTCGAGGCCAGCTCTGAGAGGACAAGAATGATACGAATGAGCTTTCCAAGTCCTTCAAGGTCAAATGCAGCCCTCTTCCATAAGAAGGGTCGAATGTTCACTCCAGCCCATCACAAGCTACGTCTTAGCGTGAACTAAAGTGACTGCAGGACGGATATCGAGTGAACTCAAATGGAAAAAGAAGTTTTACCTTTTTGGGTCTATGATTTTGTACAGTTTTCCGTTGTGAGTCTGAGTCATACTCTTACTGCTTGACAAAATGTAAACTTCTCCTGTTGAAAAGAGAAATAATGCAAAGTGAATTCACAGCATGACATCATAGTCAAGCAGTTATCATGGGTCTCCGTTCAGTCTCAGGAGGACTCTATACCTAAGGCTGTGACGGCACTCACAAATCCTCCTTTGCTGTGTACCTGAGCCCAGTCACCTCGCCCCCATGCCCAGACTATTCCTGTTCAGGAGGGTATTGTCCCTCACCTGGGTCACAGCCAACAGTCTTCTTCCTGAAGTCCTTGTCTCTACCTCTGTTTATCCTTACCCAGTGATTGTTTTCAAGAGTGAAATGGCATTAAGTTAGGTCAAGTGGAATTTTCCTGACTTCTTGTGAAGCTGCCTGGATAAACCCCTCCCTTTGTTCCTCCTTCCAACCCCCAACTCCCTTCCCCTCCCTTCCATCTTTCCTTTCTTTTCCTTCTTCCTTGTTCTGTCTTCTTCCTCTCTCCCTCTTTCTTGTGCAAACTCAGAGCCTTGAGTATCCTAACCAAGTGCTCTGCCACCAATGCCCACCCATAGCCCTACTTATTCCCAAAATTAAAGTCTGCCGATGGCATTTAAATTACTCCACAGAGCTTGACTCTGATTCTTTTTCTGACTCCCTTGAGTGGAGGTAGAAATGCATCAAGGAAAAAAAACCCAGAATCAAAATGCTTTCAGTGGGAACGTCGGGTGGTGGCGGCGCACGCCTTTGATCCCAGCCTCTGGAGGCAGAGGCAGGCGGATCTCTGTGACTTAGTGGGCAGCCTGGTCTACACAGTGAGTTCCAGGAAAGCCAAGGCTACACAGGGAAACCCCATCTTGAAAACAAAATGCTTTCACTCTGGAGCAAGAGTGGACAAATCTCTGTCCTAACTATCATATCCCTGTGCTTCTCAGGTACTTTTATGCATTTTGGGGAGCATTGGCTTAGTCCCCCGCTAATCTAAGTGAAGAGTGTGTGACTTCTCCCATTGAATGGACAAAGAAAACCAACCTGGACTTTCATTATAGAGAGAACATTCTGACTCAGGAAAGAAACATTCTTTCTTTTTATGCCTTAAAATTCATTTCTGAGGCTGAAGGATCTTAGTCCCCATGGCTTGTTAGGGTGTAGTTAAGTAAAATACCACAAAAGCAGCCCTGAAGTCTGCAATTTAAAACAGTGGAGAGTGCTTAATTTCACTTTACCACTAATCAGACTCAATTCCAATTCCCTTCTCCTCATCAGGCTTCCTATGTATGTTTTTTGTTTTGTTTTTTGTTTTTTTGTTTTTTTTTTGAGGAAAGTTTTTGTTTTTTGTTTTTTTTTTTTTTGGTTTTTCGAGACAGGGTTTCTCTGTATTGTTTCGGAGGCTATCGGTCCAACCTGGCCTCGAACTCACAGAGATCCGCCTGCCTCTGCCTCCCGAGTGCTGGGATTAAAGGCATGCGCCACCACCACCCGGCTGAGGAAAGTTTTATTTTAGCTCCTGGTCCTGGTTTTAGGGATTGCAGTGTGTGTTAGCCTGGCTCTGTTAATTGGGAGACACCTGTTTCTGCCTGGTTTGTGTTCCTGTTTTGTTGCTTTAATACTTCCAAAATATAAACCAGTTATGAAGATCCTTGGGGAAGGTTGTTGGGAAAGGAGGTCTAACTGTACAATCTTGGGATTCTGTGGAGGTCATCTTTACTGTGGATACATTTCCAACAAGTGGAAGAAGAGACATTTGTTCTGTAAGACAACAACGTTTTCCAAGCAAGGAGTGAAACCAGAACTCAGTGGAGTAACAGATATGGTACCTAGTTCGTCTTCTCCAAATCCCAAGATGTGACCTGAAAAGTAGCCTCGACAGGAGCCGCTGGCGCCCAGACAGAGTGGCTTTTCTTGCCATTGCTTGGTCACTGGACTTCGCTGGAGAGTTAAGAAATTCCTATAACAAAACACACCATAAACCCATGGTGAAAACACACCTTGGCTTGTAGGCATCCTAAAATGTTTTAAAATAGAAATTGTAATAAGGAATTGTCACACCAAAGACATACATTGCTTCTCAAGGGAAAAAGAATATGCTCTGTCCTGTGTGGGAGCACTCATGTGCCCTGTGTGGGAGTACTCATTTGCCCTGTGTGGGAGCACTCATGTGTCCTGTGTGGGAGCACTCATGTGTCCTGTGTGGGAGCACTCATGTGTCCTGTGTGGGAGCACTCATGTGTCCTATATGGGAACTGTGAAAGTACTACAGGACTCAAAGATAAGATGGGGTTTGGAGAGGGCCCTGGAAAGTCCAAGTAAGACAAAGCCCCTCCCTTCCCTCCACCTGGAGAGGATGCTTCCTGGGCAGGCTGGTCTCAACCACAGGCTGTGCAGCTGAAACCAGTGTGGGGCGGGGTGGAGCACTGAGTGGGTACAGTCAAGTCCCCCTGTCTCTTGCAGAAGCCGAGCGTGAATGCCAGCAGCGTGGGTTTCACCGACTCCTTGTAATTACCCGCCATGACGCCTTGAAAATTTAGGCTCAATTTTTATTTTGTAGACACCACTCATGTACATGAAGTGCACGGCGCTGCTCAAAGTCCTGCGAGTTTGGCACTACCAAAATTCCTAGTTTTCCAGGGTAACTTCTAAAACAGCTTTTACAGCTCCCATAAAACAAGTTTTGGAATTAGGTTGAGGATAAAGAGAACCGTCGAAATAAGTGGAAAGTCCCTTACAGGACTGCTTGCCTTTGAACATTATCCCATAGAAGTGACTGGACCTGTTGAGGAATCTCTCAGAAGCAGCTCTCCAATTAGGCTTCCAGATGAGGCACAGCACAAGCTTCTGCGTGTGTCCACGGACTGACATGTGGGGGATAGCCACTTGAATATTTTTTGGTAGTGTGCCAAACAATACAAGAAACTGTGGCATTCGGAAACATACCCATTGCGATCTCCAAACACGTAGCTTCCGTACAATCTTTCAGACTGGCAGCCTCTGTAAATGAATCCACCAACCAAAGGGCCGTTACTGAATGGCTTGAATTCTAAAAGCGATGGCTCACTTTCTGAAAAAAAAAATATCATTAGAGCAAATGAAACATTTTCAGAAGTAATTCCAAATTGTGTTTCAAAAGGCAAGACATGGATCCTTTCCAGATATACTGATGAGAATAATGAAACTGTTTAAATAGCACCAAAATGTAAGTTTAGCAAAATGAAACTGCCCATCAGGTGCTTGCAGTGTTATGTCAGGACACACCAAGATACCAACACAATTCAAATCTAGGTGTTTTGAAATCAGTGTTATTTACTATAGAACCAAAATACTTTAAGGCCTGAGTTGTGAACAATAAACATCTGTAGAAATGGCTCTGCTTGCGTTAGTAACTCAAACATACCTATCAAATCATATAAAATGTTTAAGAAGTTCACACTTTAGTGAAAAATAAAAGCATAGCACCTAAAAAGGTCTTTAAGCCCACATTTACTGTATTCATAGAAACACTGTCTCTCAGTCTTTACGGAGTTGTAGGCTTAACAAAAGCAGCTTTAGGAGTTCCTTTGAATTACATGTGGCAAATTCACCTGAGGATGCTTTTACTGACAAAGAAGTCACAAGCACAGCAGGTACCTTATGTAGGTGACTTCGTGACAACACAGTCATTTTAAAGGTTCTATTCTTCTCATGACTATGATAAAACAAAGCTTGGAAAAGACCAGTTTTAAATACCCCACCCGGACAGAAGGAACGATTGAACGACTAAGGCCATGTGTATTGGAGTTAGGCTGCTGCAGTTCAAATCCACCCTTCGCTGCTCAATTTTGATTGATAATTAACCTTTTTGTACCCCAAGGCGGCTGATACAGTGCCTGCCACCTACAGGGTTCTGTGAATGTGTTCACAGTGGGAGCTTCCCGCACTTTGAATGTGTTTTCAAGTATGCAAATGTAAGGCTGTTTATACTCTAACTGGTCTTGCCTTGAAGTTAATGTGGTAAGTAGAATTCAGCTTCATCTCCTGATATAGTCGAAATCAATGGAATTAGTAGCTTGTTAGACTGCTTTTTCCAAGCAACATTATTCTTTGGTTTTTAAAGTGTACACACATGTGCACGCACACACACACACACACACACACACACACACACACACACACGGGTGGGGGGAGTTCTCGAAGAAAAGTGAAGTAAAATAACTGAATACCGCATGAACTAACGCAGCTGCCCTATTCCTAGCGCTAAAATAAATAGCTCTGTTGAATGAGTAAACAGAAGGGGAAATCAGTTTAATAATCTCAATCTCCTGGGCTCCCTAGGTCATAAAAATGCTTACTATACTGTGGCCTTCAAAAGAGGTATGCAATACAGCATTGAAAACAATTCAGTGTTTTGGACTTCATTATCCAACTTTATGTTTTTAAGTTCTCTGTAAATACTCCAGTAATCATGTTATTAAAAATAATGTTTAAACATTTTATTCCCATGACTTGTTTTTATAAGTCAATTACTTTGTTTTCTCTAAAAGAAACCCATTTTAAAATTATTTTTATTAGAAACATTATTTTCCTAATTGCTGAGACTTGCATGTCGAATGTTCAGCAATTTCTTACCTCTAAGCTCATTTGTCTGCTTAGAAGATGTTAAGACAAGTTCCCCCATATAAGAGGGAAGGGAATAGAAAGAAGCTCCCCATCTTGAGTCTCAGATGAGCAAAATGCAAGCCACTGACTTTTGAGACTATTTGAACCCACAGGGAAGACCACAATCCATGGGAAAGGCAATTAAGCAGAGAAGCCCTCAGGGCTTGGAGGAGTCCTTGAACCTTTAAAAATGGAGCAATTTGCTCACTGGCCTGACAGAGGCCACTGTTTTTATGCATTTTCAAATGCTCATTACGCGAACTCCCTTTTCTCCAATTAATACACTAAAACCAATCTTCACCTACAGCACAACCACAGGCTTGACTCACCATAATCTTTCCCTTTCATTATCTGTAGGATTCTGGCCGACGATCTGTTTTTCCCATTGGAATCTGAGCAAAGTATTGTTAAATTGATGTTTCTATCTGTAGGATGTCGATCCACAGCACATCTACATAGTAAAGGAGGCAGACACTCATTAATTCCTACCAGGGTCTTCCTGACATAGAAAAGGCCACTCTGTGGGCTGGCCAGGATCCCATGAGCAATTTAGTTAGGATGTTCTTGAAACCAACGAAGGAAACATCTGATGTGTTTGTTTACCCTGCTGCAGCCAATGACCTCAGGAGTGTGTTTCTTAATTTTTCTGGCTATCTTTCTTCTAATGAACGTGCTCATCGTCTTAAAGACCTTTGTTAGCCTATCGGTAAGGATTACCTCATGCATAGCACATTGGCAGAGTTTGGAAATATGAATCAAAGCTACCATCAACTGTGCCATACAATGTATGTAATATATTTGCCTTAGAACTAGTTGTATTTCCTACAAGGAATGCTAACTTGTGTGCATGTGTGTGTGTGTGTGTGTGCGCGCGCGCGCGTGCACGCATGCACGCATCATAGTGTATAGTGTGTGGAGGTCAAAGGACAATGTTTTTCTTCTGTTCCTGGGCTCAAACTCAGATATTACATTTTGTGGCAAGAGCCTTTTCCCTCTAAGCTATCTCATCAGTCCCTGCATGGTTACACTCTCATACCCTGGAACTCCTCCTGCCTTCATGTCCTCCATATCTAATGTGGGGACCCCCATGGTTCTAACCACCGATAGAGCCCCAGGAGGATCAAGTGTCACTGTGTTCCTGTTACCTAGTCTAGGTCTAAGAGGCCACGATATTCCCAGCATGTTCAAGTGAGTAAGAAGCTAGGATCGGAGGGAGAATGAAGCCTAGTTGCAATGTCTGAACTTCTCAAACATGCAAGACAACAAGCAAACAAATAAACAAAAGAAAGGCTTCTTGACTTGTTGGGACCACGTAATCTTTGTTCTAGGGTTGAGGGGGTACCATTCTGGTATTTATACGGTTCTTAGCCATCTCCTTGGCCTTGACTCATTAGATGACAGTAGTGTTTACCTTGCTCTCAGCCCCTGTCATCTCAGTTATGAAATCCAAAACTGTTTCTAGACATTGTCAAATGTCCCCAGAGGCAAAAACATTCCGTTGAGAATTGATGTTTGGGCCAACAAAATACATTAACTACTTATGAGCCAAACCACTGGGCTTCAAATGAATGAGAAATGTGGAAAGTGGAGAGTAGGGGTTTCAGAGGTGGAGAACCAGTTAGCAATTACTACAACTGAGAGCTCCAAGCAGCCCACTCCAGATAAAGAAGCAGGAGCTGGGACAGTTCTACAGACAAGACCCCCACTGTCCTAACTGTGTCCCACAGCTCAGTGTCTGGCATGGATGGAGACACAGGCATGCTGTGACTTAGTGACTTTAGTCCCGGAGGGTGAGAGGACTTTTCCTAGGACCTTTTCTTGAAGATGGAGAGCTTATGGCAAAAAGAAGATTGACCTGCTTCCAACCTGAAGCAGCCAATGTGTCTAAGCAGAGGCCCGCTTTCTCTGAGGTGAGTTGCTAGGGGCTGTCAGTTCCCTTCCAGTCTCTGACCTTCAGCCTCTTACGGCAAAAGAAGCCAGATGTAAAACTAACCGGGTGAGGTTAAGATGGTGAAGGCCTGTGTCCGTCCATTAGTCTAAAAGCAGCACAGAGCGGCTGCTCCTGTCCACCAGGGACTCTTGGTGACTGATGGGGCAATGACGTTTCTTTCGTTAGTTGTTCCCTGAAAGCCTTTCTGCTGGGCATGATGATGATGGGGCAGAGGCTATGGTAATGTGGGCGAAGGGCTTATCGCTGGTCTTCGTACCTTATGGCCACATTACTGTGAACCCAATAAAGAAGACGAGGGACTGGGGACATGAATCCGTGGGCAAGAAAATGTGCTGTGAAACGAAGAGGATCTGAGTTTGATTCTCCGTCACCCTCATGAAATCCAAACGCGCCACAGGCCTGCAACCCAGGGACTAGTGGTGGGTTGTTTGTGTGTGTGGGGGGGCAGGTATTGGGAAAGACAGAGCTTGCTGAGCAGCCATGCTCACAGAAATACTGGGCTCCGGGTTCAGTGACACATCTGTCTTGAAAAATAGAGGAAAAGAGGAAGGCCGTTGGTAGAGGAAGACTAAGCCCCTCCTGTCCTCTACCCTCTACGTGTGGAAGTGCGGGTGTGCGTGCGCAGCACACACACAAATGAAAAGTTTACACAGGTGCTGCATGGACAGCTACCCAGAGCACGGCCAGCAAGACAGCCTTCTTTGCTTTTAGCCAGTAATGCTTTCAGCTTCTTTTCTCTTCATTAAATCCTTCTCTGTCTGAGATTCCCTGCAAGGGGAGCAGAACACAGACAGAACTTTTCTCTAGCCTTCAGTTGCCAGAGGAAGCAGGGCTCCCGGCACAGGCATCCCGCCACGCGCAGGGTCTGGAAAGTGCCTCACCCTGTGTTTTTTGCAATGAGGCTTGGACCCCCAGGAACGTTGCACAAACGCTCTGGTGGCGACTCAGGCTGCCTCACTTCAAAGTGCTGCGTTGTGGTGTCTGTGCGTTCTGAGCTATAGGAATGGAATGTGACAGTTTCCTCCACATCCTGACCCCACCTTAAGTATTCCCTGCTGAACAGATTTTAAGATCTGTGGAGATGCCAAAAAGGAAATGAACTGTGGATTTGGGCTTTGATGGAGGGAAGATGAAGGGCATGAGGGATTATAAAAATAAAAAGGTTGAGAAATATTCACCTTGCACATAGTGAACACTTAATAAACATTAAATAGCAATAATAACTAAGCTAGTAAATGAATGAATGTGGCCACATACCCCTTAGTCTGAATGATAGACCAGACTGGAAGGGGTTTTCATCAGAGAATTTCTGTTATAGTTCAAAGTGTGCCTGAAACCCTTCATTCTACAGACTTCTTATTTTTCTGTTCTTTACGGCTCATTATAACATGAGAAGAACTGCCAACATGGATTCCTTTAGTATTTGTCAGTTTTTAAGGCATGAGAGACATTAACATTTACCTCAATTCCTTGCAAATTAATGCTACATCATCTTGTATTAAGTGAAACCATGCCTGGTGTGAGTCAGGAGGGTCTGCTCTGGCCTTTATCTGTGGCTCTGTCATGTAATTCTGGAAGAGCCCTTGGGACACACTTGTTATCACTCCTGTTTAACACGTGTGACATTGTCTGACCGTATCATGTGAAACACACAACCTGTTGCCCTGGTTCCCACTGCTGTCAGTGGGCAGATGGTGTCACGAGAACACTACTTTCACCATGGACTCCTGGTTTTGCTGTGAGGGAACCTGGTTATCCTAGGAGTGAGTTCTCCACAGGACGATGAGTTTGGCAACTTTTCTGTCTCCTTCTCTCTCTTTTGCTCTCACCTTCCACCATGAGCTGAAGAAGCAAGAAGGCTCCCAGCAGACGCTGAGCAAGTCCTGGCACCTCAGACTGCCCAGCGTCCAGAGCTGTGAGCCCCAAACCACCTGTTGTTTATGAATTACCCAGTGCACCGCCTCAGGTTGAAGCAGCATAAAATGGACTAAGCCAACAGGAAAATAAAATTTAGAGGTGTTTAAAGAAAGCAAGCAAGCCAAAGTGCATCTAATAGTAATCCCCCTGCCCCTGATTTTCTCTAAGAACTCATATTTTCCCTTGTTTAATCTTTTTTAACCTTCTTTACAGGTAAGTGCCAGAAAATGAGCTAAATGCTTGCTTAGTTAATAGCCCCCCTACGATTTCAGAAGTACAAAGTGCTACCACCCCTTGCTATTTGGTGGTCGAACATCCCATTTGTCTTCCTAGATCTCAAATTCTGTCTTTTTCTTTTGAAGGTAAGGACAAGATGGGCAGATGTCCTCACCTGCCTGGGTCGTGGAGCCCATGGGCAAACACTTCTGGGGGCTGGTTGGTGCTGTTGAAGTGGGGGTTGCTCCGCGGTATGGAATAAGGCACATTGCACGTGTCTGTGTCCACATCGAGCCTCAGCACAGAGCCTGTGAAATCACTGAGAAATTGGGGGGGGAGTGAGTACCTCACATTCGGGTTGTGTGTTTCACCTGCGCACAGGAGAAAGAAACCATCCCCTCCTTTGACTCAAAATTACTTGAGTTCCAAATTCCACACGGCAGGGAGGCAGACCAGGGGCAGTTTGGGTACAGATGGAGGATGGACAAGGATATGCCACAGTGTGCTGCTTACGTTTAAAAGAAATCTGTCTTTTTTTTTTTCTTTCTTTTTTTTGGTTTTACGAGACAGGGTTTCTCTGTATTGTTTTGGAGGCTGTCTGTCCAGCCTGGCCTCGAACTCACAGAGATCTGCCTGCCTCTGCCTCCCGAGTGCTGGGATTAAAGGCGTGCGCCACCACCGCCCAGATGAAATCTGTCCTTTTAAATCTTTCCCAGTCAGTTCATTAGGCAGAGGGTGGAGCAGCAGCACAGATTATGGGGTGGGGGGAGTCTGCTGCCCAGAGGAAGAGGTGCCCTCCCCAAGGCTGTGTGTCGTAGCAATAACTTTTTAAGGACAAAGCAAAGTGATCCATCAGCATAAAATAGCCATGCGTTCAATCATCAGACCCGGTTTCCATGGTTCAGACCCCATGTCCTGGCATGGAAAGCACCGTGAATGTGAAAGAGTACTTGTTGGTAAGCAGTCTGTTACCTTAACCCATCCATCTCCTCCATGTCATCCAGTGTGATCATACCGTCCCCTAGGATGATGTACAAAAAGCCATCGGGACCAAAGAGCAGTTGTCCTCCAAGATGCTTGCGGTGGAGCTCGGCCACTTCCAGAAACACCCTGGCTGTTCTCACGTCAGCTTGATGGGGATTTTTCCTACGGGACAGAAGGAAAAGCACCATGATTTTCCCAGGCATAAAGTGAATCCACTGGAGAGGAAGCTGTGTACAGACAGAATCACATTTGCAACAGAGCTAATCAGAATTACTGAAAAATGACATTAATCTCTACATCTTAGGAATGTCATTGAAGTCGAAGATAATTGAGGAAAAATACCAAAGACATTATTTTCCTTGGTTTTCCTTACACATGTGCACGCGTGCGAGCACACACACACACACACACACACACACACACGTGCATGTGTTTTAAGCCATGAGAAGATTCTGTTTTAATTACTACCAATTCATGGCAGCCATTTTTAAATAGTTTGTGAGGAGATGAAGAGGAGAAAACAACACGATAGAGGTTGTAGACGTCCGTGCACATTAGTTAGGGGTACCTGGACACTGTGTACTCCACAACCCTCAGGATGTGGTCGTGAGGCCCGATAGCCCACCGTTCTTGGTTGGTGGTATAAGACACATACAGCTTTCCATTTTTCTTGTAATTGGGATGGAATGCAAGGCTTAGCAGACCCCTTTCATCTCCTCCCTGCAGTCAAATGGAAAACACAAAGAATTGTGAAGTTAATTATGTTCGTTACTGTGTTTCAGAAAGACTCCCTTCGTTGTTCTGGATTATCTTTGTCCTGTGCCCAGAAGAGGATCATAAAACATTTCTCTATGTGGTGCTTCTTAAAGGTTAGAACAGGACACTTGTCTGAGCAGTTATCTATGCACGGGACTCTTAATGCCAGTGTCGCCAAGAGATCTGTGCATGCACTCTTGGGAAGCTGGGGAGAGCAGTTTAAGTGCTATGAGGAATTCTTTACTGGGTTACGAGGTTGCTTGCAGTGCACAGGAGACAAATAAAAACAGTTCGCAATCAACAGTTACTTCTAATCCAGCTCTCTCCAAAACCTAAAACACACTGCTGGCTGCCAGCTCCCACTGTCTTGGCAATACGTTTAGAAAGCAGTTAAATTGCTTGTGTAATGTATAAACCTATGTTTCACCCGGGGGCATCCACGGAGGTTGTCACAGCGATGGTGGTCTGTACATCACAGTGAGGTAACAGCAGCCTTGGCCATCTACACAGAGAGGAGGTCTTTTTCCCATGCATCCTAACTTCAGAGAATAGGAGGAGGAAGAGACGGGAGGAGAGTGAAAGGCAGGACCAGAGTGAGGGCGGGAGAAACTTGAGAAGGGGATGCTAGGGACTAAAGGGAAAAATCTCAGGCAGCTCTCCTTTGTTGTTGTATGAACGTCAAGGACTGTATACATTAGACATGCCAAATACTAAAGCAATTAACACATCATCATGCTCGGAAATAGAGAGGCGTTCTATCTTCATTTTCTGCTAATTCAGCTCGTGGAAATCCAGTGCGGTCTTAGCATTCGCTGGGTCCCACGGGTAGCGTAGGAGTGTCTGTCCTGGAATGACGGTGGATCAGAGACCTAGGAAATGAGCGAACATTTTTCCCCCTGCAGTCTGGTGAGTTTTCCACAGCAGTGACAACCTGTGACAGAAACTGAATTTTACCTTTATGCCTTTAACATCGCATCTGCTTTGACAAAATAGGATGAGAAATTAAGTTCTGAAGTGTTAAACAGAGGAAAAAACCCTGTAATACAAAAACCTCTTTGCAGGGTCATGGTCAGCAGAGCTGGACTGTCACGCCGAGTCCCACACTATAGCATCTGTCACCAGCACAGAACAGCTCTGGGTGCAACTTGAATGATACATCAGTCTGAGAGCATAAAAATTTAGGCATAAAAGTTTATTTTTAATCAGCCTTGTTTGATTTACTTCATTGCTCAGAAATAAATGTGCTTGACTACATAGCATCCAAAGTAGAAATATTTAGACTTTGAGAATTACATAAATAACACACCGGCTGGAAATGTCCGGGAACTACTGAATCATTTATTCAAGTGTTAACCTTTTTACACGTCACCATCTGCCTGATTTTAGCTTTAATCATTAGAGTCAGATGCTAATGACTCTGATTTATGAATGTGCCTCCGTTCTGTGATGATGGTTTTAATGCAGACTCTATGCTGGCGTGTCACTTCTCACATCATTGGGAGACAAACATCCCCTGGCTGTCCGAGAGGCCTCCAGAAGCTCCAGAAGCTGAGACGTATCGTTCAGATCTGAATGTAGACTGTCCGCCCATTTAAACCTCTTCGACGGATTGCAGGAGGAAGCCCACAGGTGGATTTCGTCTGTGATTAGTTCTCCTCCTCAACATACTTCTCTCTGAAACTGTGGGGCAGGTTAAGTGCCGCCTGCCTGCTTTATAAGTGGTTGTGGTCGCTGTAGGCTTCGGCTGAAAGCGGTTCTCTGTAGCTGCTAATCAAATACAGCCGGAACTGCAGTGGGAGGGAGGAGCATCGTGGTTCAAACCGTTGGGGGTACAGACTGAGGAGGAGAGCATCGTGGTTCAAACCATCGGGGATACAGACTGAGGAGGAGAGCATTAAACCGTCAGGGGTACAGACTGAGGAGGAGAGCATCCTGGTTTAAACTGAGCCAGTCAGCCTGAGGAAGAGAGCTGCATGGCTCAAACTGAGCTGGTTGCTTTTCAGGAATTAGGGATGGAGAATGAATGGGTCATTAGCAGGCCAATGGAAAACCGCCACAAATGAATCTACAAGTGGGAGTGGACACTTGCTCACTTTGGAAACACATGGCTTACACCCACGAATCCAGAAGCACCACAGACATTTTGTAAAGTGCCGAGTTCAGAGAAGAGATGAGTTGTGAATGAGAAGAAAATAGATAATACATTTTTAAAAAAAAGTCAAAAACTACAACATTTTTTCAAGTTGCACAATTGACATTTGATTAATTTAGGATATAGCATCTGCTCTCTTCAAATAACCTTCTGGTATAAAGTTGTGTTCCGATTGGTTTAGAAATTTGACTACTTAAGTCATTTCCAAGAAAAAAACTTCATAGTTATATTGGTGAGAACATTTCATGTTTTGTATATATCCCATGGCTGTCTCTAATGACAGCAGAAAGCTCAGGCATTAGGAAGGTCTGTTAACTCCTATGGGACCGAAATATTGATAGACGGGTCACCTCAGTCAGCTTTCACTGTGATGTTGTCTATGTAATTAAAATATGTTATGAGCAGATCATGACTGAACTCTCAAATGGAAACCTGCCTTTGGGGTCTGGCTCATTTTTTAAGGTCTACATGAAGAAGCATGTTGACGGGCACTGAAAGTTGACTTCATGGCAGAGTCAGGGGCCTTTTCACAGTGACACCACCGGGTATTTAAAGCCTCAGGTCCCCTTATGTGGTTCGAGCTTTAGGCAGTAACAGACTGTCCCAGAATGAGGGGCAGCTGAAGACCGGTCCCTAAGACCTCTGTTCTTCCTGTGACCATATGTCGCCCTTTTCACCCAAGCTCTGGCTGTGTGTGTTCCCAGCCTCACTCTGTTCTCCCCCAGGGCCAAAGCACATTTCTCTCCCTCTCTTGCAAACTCTGCTAAGTCGCTTTTGAGGCTCAGCAGGAAGAATCAACCAACCCTTATGCCAACTACACGGACATTTCTCCTAACTCCTCTCATCCCTCCCCTCATGATGGGTGGCTTTATGGCTCAGAGTGCATGGAATGGAAACCATGAGCTCCACCCAGAAATGCTTAGAGGTAAAAACTGATGCAGGGAGCGTCTGAGGAGAATGAACTGTTCAAGATGACCTGGGTTGACCTGGCTGAGGATATAAGCACACTCACCGAATGGCGACGGAGCTGTACCATGTAGAAAGAGTATGTCTTCTAACACAGTGCCATACTGTTAGCCAATGTCCAAAATAGGCATCATCACCCGTGTGAGTGGATAGCAGTGATTTTTTTCAAATCTGCACATTGAACTTTGGGCTTCATGATTGGAGTACCCTATGCAAGCTGTGCTTCAAGTGACTGTGCACACAGCATCATGAGACCCAAACCAGAAGCTGACAGAGTGAGACATTTCTGACATTGCAGAAACAGGATTATCTTCTGTGAAGTTCATGTGTGAGAGTTTCCCAATCAAGCTAAAAAAGAGAGGAAGCAAAGGAGGGAGGAAGAAGAAAAAGTTTTCAAGGAAACCTTCATGCTATCTTAAATAAGATCCTGGTATCATGTTGGGCTTCAGGCTGGAAAAACTTGCCACTTTGGTTAGAGCCTGGTGTCTCAGGTTAGCCTCTTTTCCTCTCTCGGCTCTCCTCGTAGTGCAGCAAGTCAGGATCGCTCCACACCAGCTACATGTGGATACTCAAAATAGGATTGTTGGATGAGTTGATAACAATGTCCTTCAACTGTTTGGAATCGTGAGATTGACTCATGTTTCTGAGTAAGTCAGAAAAGCTTCCCCAGGGACTCTCGATAGAATGGCAACTGTCACTCAGCCCTTGGGAGCAGCCTCGCTGGGTCCCCAGAATACGAGATCAGTGTCCCCGAACAGAGTACTGAAGACTAACAGACCACCTCTTCTCTTGTGATGTTGGGATAAACTTTACCCTTTTGAGCAGATCAAAGTTCTAACAAATCATGGAAGGGTATTCTTCTTTGAATAATAAGAAATGTCCATTTGAAAAAGAGAGGTAACCATAAAATGATTACAACAGAAAACATGGTTTTTTTCTTTAAGGGAAATTTTGAGGTATTTGTCTTTCATTGTGATGCTATCTAAAGAAAACACTCTCTTTATACTTTCTTTTAAATTATTTTAGACTTATTTATCTTTATTTTATGTGTTTTGTCGGCATGTGTGTGTATGTATGTATGTATGTATGTATGTATGTATGTATGTATGTATATCACATGTATGCCTGGTGCCCTCAGAGGTCAGAAGAAGGCATTGGATCCCCTGGAACTGGAGTTATGGATGGATGTGAACTGTGGGTTCTGGGGACCAAACCCAGGTCCCTTGCAAGAGCAGCAAGTGCTCTTATCTGCTGAGCCAACTCTCTAGCTCCCTCCCTCTACTTTCAATATGGGTTAAACTTAATTTGTTCTGAGTTTTATTTCTCTTGCATTTGATTCCATGCCCTTTGGGGGGAATGCTGGCTTGAGTGTTTTAGGAAGGGGTAACATGGAACAGGAAGCTGTAAGCACCACGACTCATTTTTACATAGTTTTTCTTTAGTATTCTTTGCTATGTAACTAACTGACTGCAAGTCCAGACTCACTTCTCCTGGAACCCTTGCTGTCTAACATACTCACAGTGCCTAGGGATTAGGACAAGGATATTTCCATTATTTAGTTTTTAAAAAGGTTACTACAGATAGGTGTGGTTACGCATACTTGTAATCCCAGTACTTGGGAGATGGAGCAAGAGGATCAGGGATGCGAGGATCAGGGATGCAGGTCAGTGTCTGCTACATAGAGAATCTGAGACTGGCTTGGGTTAGCTGAGTCTCTGTTTATAAACAAAACAAAACAAGAAAAGGGATCCTGAGCACATAAGACTTAGCCTTCTTGAGCGCGACTTCACCATCCATAACATGACCTGGGCACTAGCAGTGAGGAAGCATAAGTATAGTCCCACAG